TAACAGGCAGTCACTTAGCTTTGTTAAAGCAGGCCTCCTGGGTACAGATCCGATCCTGTTAGGTTTTATGTCAACTTGATACAAGCTAGACTCATCAGAGAGCAGGAAGCCTCAGTTGAGAAAATGCCTCAGATATAGGCAAGCGAATGGGGTATTTTCTTAATTAGTGATTGATCTGGCTACATTCTGGTCATTGTGTGTGGAGCCACCCTTGGGCAGATGATTTTGGGTTCTATAAAAAAAAAAAAAAAAAAAAGACAGGCTGCCAAGCAAGCAAGCCAATAAACAGCAGCCCTCTCTGGCCTCTGCATCAGACCCTGCCTCCAGATTCCTGCACTGTTTTGAGTTCTTTTCCTAACTTTCCTTAAAGATGAACATATTGATTATGGAAGTGTAAGCCAAATACACCCTTTCCTCCCCAGCTTGCCTTTTGGTCATGCTGTTTCTTCCTAGCAATAGAAACCCTAAGACAGTTCAACTAAAATTTGGAATGAATTAAGAGGTCAGTCCCTGGTTGGTAAAGGAACAACACTTCCTGGCAACATACCTCAAGGTGAATAGGAGAGCAGACCTCATCCTAAATACCTTAAGGCAGTGGTTCTCAACCTTCCTAATGGCTGCAAACCTTTAACACAGTTCCTCATGTTGTGGTGACCCCTACCCGGGCCCCCCCCCTGCCACACACACTGTGAAATTATTTCATTGCTACTTCATAACTGTAATTTTGCTACTGTCATGAATCATAATGTAAATATCTGATATGAGATACCCAAAGGGGTTGCAACCCACATGTTGAAAAGCTCTGCCTTAAGAGCTAGTACATTAGAAGAGCTGGGGGTGAGCTTAGCAAGATATTGTGTACAAGGCCCTCCTTGACTCAATACCCAGCAACAAGAACGAAACTGAACACCAGTTAGGGGCCGGGGACCCTGTAGGTATATAACAGTGCATGGGAAAGAGGCAGAGGAAGGGCGTGAGAAAAGCAGACAATGACTTAGACTTCCCATCAGGCCCATCCTTCTGGCCTGGAAATTCATTCCAAGGCTGTTGTGTGGCCTTTTGCCATCTCTTTTTGGAACATGCCAACATCCTTCACTCTAGACTGCAATTCATTCATGAGGATGGGTGTCGCTGCCGGACCAGTAGAGGCAGGAAGCAATTCAAGGCCAGGCAGATGGAAAAGAGCAGGAACACATCTGCTCCCTTAAAAACACCCAGGAACTTTGATTTCAGGGGACTTGAATGGGGAAGTGGGCATGCATATTGAGTCAGTCCCCTAGGGTTTCATACACACATCTGAGAGTCCAGACCTAAACTGGACACAGAAGTACTCTACTGACCTCTTCATCAGAAGGTACAGGACGGTTTCAAAGCATTTTCCAAGAAGCAAAAACCCTAAGGGACTCCATTAAAATACATGTGAGCACACAGTGTCATAAGCAAGTGCATGGCAACCAAACCAAAACAAACAAAAAGCCCTCCAAGAAGACAGTGATCACGTCCAGTTGCTGTTTGTGGTGGTTTGGGGGAATAAAGGTCCCCAAAGGGGGTAGCCTTGTTTGAGGAAGTATGTCACTATGGATGTGGGCTTTGAGGTCTCTTTTGCTCAAGCTTCCCTCCGTGTGGCAGTCAGTCAACTTCCTGTTGCCTGGAAGATGTAGCACTTTCAACTATTCCTCCAACACCACATCTGCCTGCATGCCTCAGTGTTCGCCACCATGATAATAGCCTCTGACTCTGTTAATGAGCCACCCCAATTATATGTTTTCTTTATAAGAGTTGCTGTTATTATTGTGCCTCTCCACGACAATAAAAATCCAAACTTAGACACCGTTAAAGATGAAATTCAGTTACAGAAATTAGTTTTTGAAAACTTATTATGGAGATTCAAGATTTCTCAGGAATACTCCCCAAACCTTCACCCCATCTTCTAGGTTTCAAAGAGGGACAAGAAGTGGTCCTTATTCATCATTTCATCTAGCCAAATGTCCTACATAGTCTTATCATTCAGAAAAATATAAATGGAATTAAATTGAATTAGTAGTCTAAGATTTTTATAAATAAATTTTCTACTCAAATTGTTTTTTTTTTCCACTGGGGAATCTTATAAAATCTACAAGTCTCTAAGAGGTTTGTATACATGCTTTAGGAATATATATGAATCATTTCTTACAAGGCTTAATGCTCTATATGCTGGTATACTTAGCCTATAGTTTCTTATAGTTTTTGTCTGTATGCTCTTTGTATAGGTCAGGTTTCTATACAATGCCTTTTTAAAATATAGCTGGGATGGTCCTTAGCATTCTCATAGTGCCTGTCTTGATCAAGATGATAGACAGAAACACAAATCAGTTTCACCACAAATCTTGGGGAGCCTTAGGAGACTTGGTCAAAGGTGTCAACTCTGAGAGCTAGTGAGCAAGCAGGCCAACAAGGCCAAACAGAGAGTTTACTTCATGGGACAGGTTAACAGATTCTCTCTAACTGGGTGTCTGCAGAAGGCAATGAATATGTGGACTTGTCTGCTGCTGAGTCATGCGAACAGAGAGGAAAGTCAATGTCAACACCAAGTGTAAAGTGATCCAATTAGGTCAGATTACCGTTTATCTCCATATACCCCTTGTGGTTCCTTGGGCAAGTTGGTTTCCATAATCAAATTATTACCAAAGACCAACTAGAAATAGTCCGATAGAGCTCACATTTCCGTCACTTTATTTACTCATAAAATATTACTCTATCATAAACTTGTGAAATGCACCCTGTGAACAAATTTTACTGGGATCACAAACTAAGTCATCACAGACTTCTGGGAAACCAGGCTGAATAAAAACAGCAAAATCAGAACATCTATTATAAAGAGCCTTTTTCTAAGGGCATACAGGAAGTCTGTCACTGTTTATTTAAAAAAAAAAAAAAAAAAAAAAAAAAAAAACCCCCTTTTTCACTTTTATCCTTGCATGGTGATTTACCTATTAAGCCAGATGAACATTTGATCACAGATGACCTTCTTTCAGAAAGAGGTATCTTATGAAAACATCTCTAAGTTATGCTCCTTATTCTGACCATCTAGGCTGAATGCTCAGATTCAAGGCTGTCTCAGCATGGCAGCTTTGTGAGGTTTAACAAGCCTCCGCCCTCATCAGTGCCCCAGAGACGTGGTTCCATTTTCCCTCTGCACATCTCTGATTGACTATGCCCTGGTCTACGTTCTTGTGATGATTCGGAGCCTTTTGGCCCAGAGTTTGTACTCTTAGGCCCAGTTCTACACAGTCAACAACCATAGCCTTATGTCACTGCTTTTCTCATGTCTGCCCAAAGCAGGTTACCTAACCATGCACACAGGAAAAACCCCAGGAGAAGCCGCCTGAAGCCTTCTGATTTTCTGCCCAAGTGTCTGAGGTCCACAGCAGGATCTCTTTCAAAGTGTTAATTCCTGCCGGTACCAAGGTAGGACTCCACTTATTCCATTGACCTTCTATGAGCAAATGGATTGAATCAAATTATCTATAAATTTCCCATGAATTTTAATCCATTCCTTTTCTACACCAACCCTTTTTATTTCTGCTTAAGATGTGACTGGGGTCAAAGCATCTGGGAAAAAAATCACAGTTCTTTTTCTTTTGCATTGTATCCCAAATTTAATGAGTTAGTAACATTTGATTATTCCTTCACTGAGGTGCTCTGACATTCAACACACAGTACATTGCCAGCACAATCATTCCAGAGAAGGATTTTATCATCCTAACTTATGTACAGACATAGATGCATGTATGTGTATATATGTGCATATTATATACCCACTCATATGTAAGTATATGCATCCCACAAAAATATACTATATAGAATTTACATATACACATATGAAGTGTACACATACAAACACACACATGCAATAGCAAAGGAAGAAAACATCCCCATTTTGGAGAAAATGTTTCAATGCACACAGACACAAAGAACTCAAGACTTACCGGTTGACCCCCCCACCATCGATGGTTAAACTTCTCTCGCCCTCGAAGATGGAAAGTAGAATCGAACACAGGATCATACATTGAATTGCCAACAATTCCATGGGATTCTGGATATAAACCCTTTGTATAAGAGTGATTTTATTGTCAAAATAGCAATGTAATAATCTACACATATTAGTCCTGTTATCAATTTTCTTATCATAGAAAGTTTCATAATATTGAGTTACCAAAATCAAG